CCAGCATGGCAACACGCGCTAAGGACCCCAATGAATGTAATTGAATTGGGTTTGATAGGACACTGCTGCAAGTCCGAGTAAGTTTTAAGAGATAAATTGGCATGTCCGTGCATGGCCAAGCCACATATAATGGCATTCCATGGAGAGATAGTCGATACCCTGTCTCGAACTTGATAGAAAACTTCCAAGGCAGTATTGATGCTGCTACATTTGGCATACATGTCAATTATAGCTGCGCTTAGATTGTCATTAAAAGTAATGCAGCTCCTACGAACATATTCATGAGCCCATTTTGCTTCATTGAACCTGCCTAATGAGGCAATTGCAGAGCAAACACTCACCATCGTGATTTGATTTGGTTGAACCCCACTAGCAATCATTTCAGAGAAAAGTTCCAATGCCATATTAGGCTGCTCGCTCTGGGCATAACCAGAAATCATGGTACTCCAAGAAAAGACATCTCTTGTAGACATATCATTAAACAAGTCCCTTGCCTGTTCAATCATTCTATTTTTTAAGAATCCTGCAATAAGGGCGTTCCTAGATGCTATATGGTCCTTAACACCCACTTCAAACTGCAAATGAGCCAAGTCAATCATACTACAAGCTGCATAAAAATGAATAATTGTGGCCTGAACAAAATCATAACAGTCAAAACCTCTCTTCGCAGCAGCACCATGAAGTTGCCGACCCTCATTAACAGCTGCCGATCTCCCACAAGCTGAAATCAAATCCACAACCATAACGTCATTAGGCCCCATCCCATTTCCTAGCATTTCAGAAAACAACATCAAAGCTTCACTTAGACATTCCACTTGCACATATCCATCAATCATGGTGCCCCATGAAACCACATCCTTCTCAGGAATCCTCTCAAACAGTTCCCTCGCTAACTGAACAAGCCCTGCTTTTGAGTATCCATTTAACATCACGTTCCAAGAAACTATATTCTTCTCCGGCATCTCATCAAACAAACTCCTTGCCTCCCCTAAACTGGAACAAACACAATACATGTGCAGCAAATTTGTCGAGATAAGAACCTGTCCTTCCAGCTGCAACTTAATGGACAAAGCATGTAACATTCTGCAATCCCAAATCCCGCCAAGATGCGAACAAGAAGATATCACGCTGGCTAAAGCCAGCTCATTAGGCGCCACACCCGCATTCCTCATATCCCTGAAAATCCCAACCGCTTCAGCCCATCGATCATTTTGAGCGAAACCCATTATCATGGTCGTGTAAGACACGCAACCTTTGCTATGCATTACGTCGAACAATCTGCGTGCATCTTCCAGTCGCCTAGATTTCATGTACGCAGATATCATGATGTTGCAAGAAACAGTGTCCAAGTCCCAGCACGAAGTGAAAATGGAATCAGCTTCCCCAATGAGGCCACATTTGGCGTACATGTTGAGGATGCTATTGTGAATGAAGGTGTTGGAAGCAAGGCCGGATTTTACGACGAGGCAATGGATTTGGCGTCCCTGAGAGACGGCCATGTTGGAGGCGCAAGATTTCAGGGCCGAGACCAGAGTGAGCTCGCGTTCGGGGCTGTGCAGATGGGTGTTGCCGGAGTTGAAGAGGGTAGAAAGATTGAGGAGTGGAGGAGATTGTGGCGGCAGGGATTTGGAGGGTGAAGCGGAAATCCATTTGCGACTGCAAGTAGAAAAAGTGAGAAAGCGGAGGAGGATTTTGGGTCTGTGATCGAGAGAGAGGATCATCAGACGAGACCATGAGATCCCGCCACCTCTCGCCGGTGTTCTTCTTCAAAGTCTGAAACCAGAAGATCTGCAGGGAAACTTGAGGGAATTGGAGCAGAAGTTTTCAGTACAACACTCTTATATAGGTTTTCCATTTTTTTGAAGGTACGCAGTGCTTATTTGTGTGTTCACACCAAAACAGTTGATCAAGTTTTTATTTATAAAATAATTAGATAAATTAAAATAGTTTAATTAATTACAATTTAATCTTTCTATTAGAATTTACTTTGTAATTTTAGTGATGTTGTTAAAATTAGATGATAATAATAAATTTTTAAAAAAAAAAATCTGTTCTTTACGTATTGTATAATTTTACAATGCTCGAGCAGATAATTAGATTTAGTATATAATTAATTATCTTTTGATTAAATAGATATTTTTAAACAATAAACAATTTGATCAAATTAAAAGTTGGGTAAAAATATAAATCCTTCAAAATTCTAAGAAACAATATCAAGTTAATAGATATATTATTATTATCACAGAAAATAAAATAATAATATAGTTTAAAGTGTTTAAACATAAATCAAAACAAGTTTAGTGAGAGATGAACAACTTTCCTTGTGCTGTATTATCATGTTAATTTGCTTTTAAGAATTTCCTATAAATTATAATTGTTTTATTTCAAAACTTACAAATAAAACAACAATCACTCGTATATTATAAGGTCTATCAATTTATATGGGCTCCTCCAACACCTAATAATTTTTTACCTAACAGCTAATATGAAATTTGGTATATCTTTCCAGAAATCAAAAGAGAGCATTCCTATGTAAGTAAATACGGACACATGAAGAGGGGGGGGGTTATGTGTTCTGCAACTGAAAGCCAACCTGAATATCAGATTCTTTTTCTTTTCAAAGAAAGAAAAAATCTTCTAACTCAAAAGTCTCCAGAATGAGAATCCACATTAAAAAGATCTTAAAAAGTTAACCAAAATATTGGAGACCGAATATATATCTGTAGAAGATGATCAAATTATAAAAACCCCTCATTTTGCAATCAGCGGCTGTCTCCTCCACTGTGAGTTGTATTGCCCAACGCCCTGCACAAAAATCAACAGGCTTCTAAATTACCAGTTACCCCAACAGAATTTCGAAAAATGTCGCTTCTGACTAGCAGAAGACTTCGTACAAACAGAAAGTGCAACACACTGTGCATATAGATTGATTGATGAATATATCATCGTCTGCGGATTAATAGATTCTTGCATATATAGCAGTAAATGATCAGATAAGCAGAATCTTTTTCTTATTTGCGTAGACATTTTACTTTTTGCTCATGTCTTAAACCCCACTTGTCAAGGTTCAAATAGGACATGATCTCAGCACATAGAAATAAAAAATCTTTAACTTTTAGACTATGATAGTAAACGAAAACCCCAGCCTTCCAAGTCTACAAAAAATACACGTGACAATAATGTCAAGTATGTTTCCCATTTCAGTTCTATGAAATAAGAACAAGAATATAATAAAAATGAAATAAAATTTTGAATAAAAGTAGGATTTTAATTCCAAATTAAGTCAACATCCAATTTAAATGAATTGTTTTCTAATCCTTTATGGAACAACAAATTCATCAAATAGAATGGAAACAAGATAAATTTGAATCAAAAGCAAAGTAAGTCATATTCCTAAATTGAAGTCATTTGGTGCAGGCAGATGCCTAATGGAAGTCCAGACAGTCAAGAGACTCTAACTAAAATTAGAGATACCTGTCAAGAAGAAAATATTTCCAACACCGGGCAAGAGTGGAACAATTAAGGAGTTAACTTTTTGAGATAAAAAAAATAGCTGGATTTTAATACCAAATGCAGTACATGCAATCTTTTAGTAAATTCCAAAATTGTGCCTATCATACCTTAATTGGGAGGAGGTTACATAGATTTGGTTTTCTAGGTGGTCGGAAGTCGATGAACTTGCAGAATGACATGCAATATTTATCACTCTCCATTCAAGTTCTAGCAACGTTCAATAAAATATCCGCATGCCTCATGTGCGACTTTACTCATCAAACAAATTGCTTCCTGTTCATTCTATGTGCCTATCAATCTACTCATACTAGGACTTTGAACACTAAGATTGAACCTAAAGTAAATGGGAAAACCCAACTTTGAACAAGAGTATCTAAATAACAATGAAGTCTAAAATCTAACAGAACATGTAAAGATTTGAACTCCTATCTCGTCCAACATGAGTTCTCTCAAGGTTGACTAAAGCTCATACTCAGAGTTTAGCTTTGTTTCCCATGATCAGTAGGATTACCAAATAATCCTCTCCACATTGGGCAGGCTCATCTTTTTCCAATAAAAAGATTATTGCTCTTCACATATGAAATCCTTATCTACTGACCAAGAAGCTTATATAAGATTATCAGCATAAGTATTCGAGTGTCCTTGCATCGGTGAAGTTCTAGCTTCATTTCTTCTGCCATGAAATCTTCCCACATGTATTCAAGTAGCCTCACATCCTTACATGGAATTTTTAGCTTTCTTTTTCTTTTGCCTTGAAGTCGTCCAATATGTGTTCAAGTAGGATTCCATCCTTATATAAGCTGTTTTGTTTTATTTCTTTTGCTATAAGATCTTCCTGTATGCGGTCAGGTTCTGCACTTTCTTAAAAAAGCGAACTTAAACTTTGAGGGACTTTGTAAAGACAATATATAAGCATATTTCTTTAGAACCTTATCAATATCAACATGAAGTTCAAATTCAGTCCTCTTATTGGATTAGTAGAAAGCTCCAACCTATGTAGGAAGAGAGAAAATAGATATTTGGAGATTCCTACAAATTCTACTCGTATTTGGACTTTGACCATTAAGTTCAATCCTAAAAGGAAATTTGCTAATCTGAAAACCCCAACTTAAATTAGAAAATCCAACTTCATTAAGAAAACTTGAATAGATAAAATAAAAGATCCTAAACCCAAAGCATAAATATCAAATATTTTTGGGAACTATTTTCTCCGCATCTATTAAAGAATTTATAGGCTTTAACAAAGTCAAAGAAGTGGTAGATATGTGACTGCTGATAGAGTAACTTCTAAATGACGTACAATTCTTGTGTGAAACTTGTCCAGACATCAACGAGAGAGCCTGGACTTGGCAGAGTAATGGGGCTACAAAAGGCAGGATGAGCTTATCTCTCCGATCTCTTCGACTATTTTGTTAGTTAGGTGGGGGAAATAAACATAAAGGAGTTTGAGCCTCGTTAATCTTTTTTTTTTTACAATTACGTCTTATCAGAAGAATCACTATCTTACTTCTACAGTAAGGGGACCTCGTTGATATTAAGGTGGCCTTGTAAAACCTTATCCAAAGGTGGCATCCTTCTTTTCCATTAGGTGTAAATACCTTTTTTTCCTTTTCAAATAGATTTCACAAACGCTTGAAGAAAGAAACTGAAAGGCAACCCCAAATTCCTCTAATCTTTGGAAAGGAGGTATCGAGGATTGATGAAGAAGGTTTTCATGTAGGATGTTAGATTGGAGCTTATCATTGGTCTATGATGAGCATTCCAATGAGATTGGTTTCACAGTCATTACTGTCAAGATGTTACAAAGACAGGTGCCTATCTAGCATCTTATGAAAGTTCCCCATGAACCAAGTAGCACTTATGCTACAAAATCCATAATTTCGTCATGTATAAGAAACTTTACTAGCAAAGAGGTGAGGCAAATGGTTCTTCCAGGATGCCAATAATTCGTGGTTTGAGCATGTTGATTTTGTTATATGCCTAAGATGACAATTAGAAAACGGTACATATGGAACAGTATAATCTTCTTCCACGAACAAAAGATTGGTGGTGTAGATTATTTGGTAATTTAATTGATTACCAAGGAAAAGATAAGCTTAAGGATGAGTTTTGGTGGGAAAAAATAGAACCCAAAATCTAAATTTCCTGAACAATTCAAGATCATTTGCATTATAAATTGCTTTTCTTTTTTTTTTTTGTGGGATTCTATACTTTATTGTTACTTATTTTTTATGACTGTATAATTTATTGTTATTTATCTTTCCCACTTAAGGTGGATTTTCCTCTAGTTTAGTTTAATTTCTTACTAGGATTATTTTTATTCACATTCATATGATGATTAATACTCCAAATGGCACTCAATACTCTGAGTTATGGAATAGGGTGACTTTTTTGGTGTCCTAGTGAACTAAAGGCTTAGGCCACTACCAGGACTTTAGTATCTCCGATCCTAATCACAATTGGGATACCATTATTCATGACTTGTAGTTTTTTTTCTTTGTGCTGGTTGTTCTGCTGCTGTTGATCGATTTCCTATTTTTGTATTTCATTCTTTAGGGAGGATGTTTCATTCTCCTATTTTGTATTTTCTTCTCTTTGTTTTAGTAAAATCTTCTTTTATTAAAAAGATGATGATTAATACTAATTTGTTAGTACTATTTTATTAGCCTTGTCCTACTAGTTTTTCAAATTTAATAAAATTCCCCAGAGACTTTTTGCCCTACCATCAAACACAGCTTGATTATTTCCAGCCCATCCTCTTGTCTTGTCTGTCTAAATTGCCTCTCTTTTGATGCATCAATTCTAGAACTTCTTTATAATCTGACATTAAGATCCTCATATAGCTACGTTGTGAACAAGTGGTCCAAAATGAAAAACGTGTGAGAAAGAAATGCTTCGTGACTGTTACCAACTGAAATAGCCGAAGGATGGGAAAATGCAAAGCAACCATCACAAACAAATACCTAAGAGATTTGGATATAAACAAGCCTGAAAACATTTATGATGTCAACCATCTTTTTAATTCCAACTATTTTTGTTGCTTCAGGTAAATTGAAGTCAGCAGGAAGAAACCTTGGTCCTTGCAACAACTGGTAAGTTATGTCTGCTGATTGCTGAAAGTGTCAAGTTGGTATTAACAAATAGCTTTTGAGGTGTTTACCTAGTGGATCATCAATACTGAAGCAGATATGCAACTTACGAGACAGAAGCTATCATCAAGACCTCATTGTTTGCTTCTTGTCGCATCATGTTGTCACTCACCCATAACTTCCAACCCTCATTGACTTCCACATTCTAAACTGGTAATATCACATCTTCATTCATCAAGGCTCGGCTCAATTTTTGGCTTCCAAGACACCAGCTTTAGACTTTAAACCCTCATGGCTCAACTGAGAATATAAAACAACTGGAGCTAAATCCAGTATATATCATGCCACTATCAGCTTGTAATAAATGAGAAGAAATGTTACCTCTAACAAGTGTTTCTAGAATCAGAAAATATTTAATATATAAGAACCAGATAATGTTTGTCGT